CCCCTTCTCCTTTGCACCCTCCTCGGACTCCTGGTCACCACCCAGCAGAGGTGGAGGCTGGCTTGCTCGGGGCTGTACATGGTCTAAGATGCTAGTTTTCGGGAACCTCTTTAGACTGATATTCGGGCTGCAAGTTTGTGTAGATCCCACAATCCTGCCTTGTGCCACTTCCAATCACCCTGGTACTGCACAACCGCTGCGTACACTCGCTTGCGCTGCCCACTTGGGGTTTCCACCATCACCCCTTCCGAGAAGAGGATGTTGAAGGAGTTCACAACCTCCCAAATTCTTACATCCCCAGATTATAGAGGCCAGGAAAGCTTCCAAGTAGGGTTTGGGCGGTTTGGGTGTGTTCGATACTACAAACAAATTAATATCTACCCTGAGCGCCTCCTCCATGAAAGTGTTGAGAGTGCCAGGGCCCGCACTCTGTCCCTGAGGGCAATGCATCGTGTGGGAAGTTTGGGTGTTGGCACTAGCAGCAGGTTTCTTTGGGTATAGGGTTCAGGGCAAAAGCTATTTACACTAGTAGTATATACTGAGGAATATAAGAAGCAGCTTGTGACCCACCTGCTGATAGACAAACAGAGGCCACACGGTCTGCAGTGCATTCTTGGAATTCTCCATGAGCCGTCCAAAGGCCACCGCCACTAACTTATCCTCATGTGTTTCTGTAAATCTAGCATCATCACCCCAAACATAGAGAGGAATATGAAAGTCCGCTGCCCCCATTGTTGGCATCCCCGTGCTCCGAGCATGATCCCAGAACTTCTGAATTTGATCTGTATCATCCACCGGGAGGATGCCCTGGCGCACAAGCCAGGGAAGCACTTCATGTGGTAGAGCCACAGGAAGACTCCTTGGGTTAACAGGTTCTACACCGGCCTACAACATTTGATCCCTAGGGAGACAAGGAACCTTTTCTTCAGCACACCGTTAATGATCACAGGGACGTCCAACTTTTTGACCGGGACCTCGGATTCAACAGCTACAGTATGTAACATGTTTTGTACAAGAGAACTTGCACACAACACAACCTAGAGGATGTGCATGTATATGCTTCTGCATGTAAGCCACCTTCGCAGCTTTGCATCTCCGGAGCATATCCCGCTGGATGTTGCTAGGCCATTTACCCGAAGTGGATATCAACTCACCTGCGGCGCCTTGCAACACCATACCGTCGCCCCGGAACTCCTGGTCCACAGCTTCCAGCAGCTCCCGTGCTCCCGTAAACGAAGTTCCCTCGGATTGCATTGGATGCAGGCCATGACAGCGGCACAACATGGATCAGGCAGGACCTCCGCACCACATGTGTTTCAGTCCTAGCTAGCCCCAGCAGTTTGAATTCGAAAGTAGTTTCAGAGTTTTTGTTTAGATACATATTAAAGCTTGTAGGTGGGGGTTTTTTACTTCTGACAGGGATTCTGGGATGAATATGAGGTTTCATCCAGTTACTTAATTGCAATGGCCGATGTCTAGGCTTGTGATATCGTACACATTGCAAGCGAGCAGCCCCTTTGCCGATGGTCCTCATGACGTAGGCATGCAGAGGAGTGCTCGATGCCCGACCTGCGTAGGGAGCTTCATATATACGCATACCCACTCATCCCCAGTTCGTTGTCTCATCGATATCATGCAATGCTGCTTCATGATCACAGTAGACTGCGACTCTACACCAGAGCACCACACATAAGGTTACCATTTTCGGCACAGCACTTCAGCTGCAGCTGCTTCGGACTTCGGATTTGCAATGTTGCATCCGGATTAAACCGCCTACGGCCCATCACAGCAGCACCCTTACTGGAAGTAGCTGTCTAGATATACCCATGGGCTAGCGAGCACAAACCAAGAACCATTAGTCCTAAAGCCTGAACCCTAGCCCCTTTCAGCCCTGATACGGTTGATGGACAAAATTCTGCATGACCCAAATAATATAGTATAGTACCATAAATCC